TCCCCTTCCCCGATTTTATGTGAGCCGCCCTGAGTCCCCTCAGGGAAAAGGGCGGCCTACAAATATTAATAAAATCTCAAAAATCTCAAAATGAGTGCAGCAGAATTAATATCTGCAGATATTAATTCTGCTACACTTAAGGGCGTAAGGGGGCCATGGTGGCTCATGTGGTAAGACGCTGAGCCAGCGCTCCACTGAGTTCGGCAGCTCGGCCGCTCGATTACCATGAGCGAATAAACTGTGCAGGGATAGGAAAGGAGCCTTCCCCAATTGCCTACTGGCATTCAGGCATCCCACAGGTAAGATAACACCACCCGAAAAAAATTCCTTTCACAGAGACATGCAGCCACTTCGGTGATCCCTGGCTAACATGTGCCATATGCTAAATAAATAAAATAACTGCAGAGACTGCCTCCCCTCTCTCCTGGTTTTATTAGTGAATGAGGTTAAAGTTGCCTACTTAGGCAGAAAGCTTTTTCAGTGTAGCCTTGGAACTGTGAAGCAGTGCTAGAAAAGATTCACTGAAGTATATTATTCATTATTTCTATGAATTTGCTTGGAGGGGAAAAAGAAAAAAATCATGCACGTGGCTTTTTAATATACCATCTTATCTAAAATAAAAACAGGAATAATTTAATTGGTAAATAATTTTAAGGGGCAGTATTTTACAAGTAACTCACATAAAGAGAAAATATGTTCCCAGGAAATGATTAGTAACTTTTTGCTCTTGTTCTCGTAGCTGTTTGCCTCTGTCACCTTTGAAGTTGAAGAAGAAAGCAAGGTAAGGTCACTTCATAAATGTGAGGATGATGTTTCCTGATGAAACTGCAGAACAAGCTCATTTTGATTATATAAAAACTCTTAGACCAGGACTGTCAAACTCCCGGCCCACGGGTCAGATGCATCAGGCGCTGGCCACTCCCACACCCTGCATAGCGAAGGAGAAAAAAGTCCCGATATGTCACATGATGCTGCCATGACGATGTGAGTTTGACACCCCTGTCTTAGACACTGTTGAGACTATGAAATGAGAAAGATACTTCAATGGCCAAACTCTATGTGGACTACTGTAGCCAGGGAAAACAGGATTGAGACACTACAAACTATAGAGTTTTTATTTGCCAACTGCTCAGAGGCATGTACGTGTAATGGGTGGTATAGAAATTTGGTAACTAAATAAATAAAGGCATGATATAAAAACAAAAATTTGAGTAGTCATTTTTGCAGTAATATTAAACTTATAGAAACGAATTTCATTCATAGAATTTCCATTGCAAAGCAAGTTTTATACAACAGATATTTTTTATATTCAATATACAGTTAAGTATCTTGGGAATATTAATCTCATAAAAGGACAGAACAAGGAGCTGTGTAGGTAGTTTTGAAATCTCAGACACTAGCATGGTTTCTGCGGGGGAAATTGTCAGGTAATGGTTTTAAGAGCCTTGCAATTCTCTTTCCCTTCTTGTTAAGAGCAAAACCAGAATTCACTATAAAAAAAATTCCTCAATAGCTAATGTCATGATCAGTGGTAAGAGTAGGGCATTATGTTAAAAGTTCTGCCATTAGAGGTTTGGATAGAAACCAAGCTGTCTTAGTTTTCCAAACAGGACAGTTGTGCTAGAATTCTACAGAAGTTTTAGAAAATTGCTTTGTTTTGAAGTTGTTTTCAATTATTCTGTTTAATATCTTGAAAATGTATTAAATACTTAACTAAGGTTTTTTTTGCTAAAGCTAAAAATGCTATTTTTAAATTTTATTTGTCTATCCAGGCACCAAGAACCCGTGCAGTAAAGAATGTGAGAAGACATGCTTGCTCCTCCATCATCAAGATGTGTCGGGATTACCCTCAACTTGTTCTGGTATTCAATTGCATTTTGTTCAGTTTGAAACAGTTTTTCAAACTTAAGCTATTTTGGGGGTAGGAATGCACATTTTTAGTCGATGGTTTAGAGCTCTCTAAGATCTTTATTTGTAGTCTGTAGCATAGCAAGTTTAAATAATAGATCTTCGTATGTTTTAGTAGAAAAAGATAATCGTGGTTGGTTTTTGACTTTCATTGGTGTCAGAAGTGAGAAACAGCCCACTTTTGTTTTCAAGAATACTTTGGTTCTTTTCATAGTAAGTACATAGTTATGAATTATCTTAGATTGCAGTGTGTATACAGTATATCTATGAAAATGTGGATGGAGCTTTATAACAGCAGACTGCAGTTCTAGAGCCAAACTTTAAGAGAAATTCAAAGAAATACTGATTTAGAGAAAGGCAATGTGAATGGTAATGGGTGGATGGCTAGATACGCTGGGAATCCATAATAAATTTCTAGACATGCTTTATCCTATGAACAACGTGGCAACACTATTTAAATATAGAAGAGGTTTCAGACAAAAAAAGGTCATACCCAGTTTGTCATTCCAGACACAAAATTTTCTTAGAAGAAAATCCTAAAAACTAAATTTAAAAAATTAGGGGGGAAAGCTTCTAATATGAATTGATCCTGTTCTTATCAGAACCAGTTATGCCCAGATTCTCCATTTCAGTGGATTTGTTCAACCAGAGGTTGGCCTGCCATCTGTTAGGCATACCTCAATTTGGATCCCTGCATTGAGCAGGAGATTGTTCTCAAAGGCCTACCGTGTTTCCCCGAAAATACGACCTGTCCCAAAACTAACGCCTTGCCACATTTTTCGCGTGGGCAAAAATATAAGCCCACCCCCGAAAATAAACCCTGTAGACACACACCCCCTCTGGCCAGGCAGAGCACTACTCACTGACCTACCGGTATCCCGAAGGCGCCAAGCCGGGGGGAAAGGCGCTCACATTGCTTGCTGTCTTCGGGATACCGCTAGGTTGGGGAATGGTGTTCTGCTTGGCCGGAGGGGGGAGTTGCCGGGCGGCTGCTCCCTTGCAAGCGGACGCCCGAAAAGCCAGGCACAGCCTCAGGGGCAAAGCAGCCATGAGGTAATCACGCTCATGAGCAGCCGCCCGGCAAATCCCCTCTCCAGCCAGGCAGAGCGCCATTCACTGACCTAGGTGGTATCCCTAAGGCGCCAAGCCACGTGGCGCTGTGCCCGCCCCCCAGCTCCCATGGCTTGGCACATTCGGGATACCCCCTAGATCAGTGCATGGAGCTCTTCCCAGCTGGAGAGGGGGATTCCGCAAGCGCCTGTTCCGCCCCCAGCCTCACCAAGCCCTTGCGCAGCTCTCCCAGGGTACCGCCGCCCACCATCGCCACGCTCCAAGCTTACCTTCCAAACTCCAAAACTTGGGGCTGAGTCTTCCAGCATCGGCCGCTCTAGGAGTGTTCTCTATGGTGGGCCGGCTGCCAGACAGAGAGTCTTCCAGACAGAGAGTTCCAGCAGCCGGCCCACCATGGAGAGCACTCCTAGAGCAGCCGATGCTGGAAGACTCGGCAGCCGATTTTTGGAGTTTGGAAGTTATGCTCGGAGCGTGGCGGCAGCGGTGCCCTGGGAGAGCAGCCACCCAGCAACCCCAAAACAATAAGCCCTTCCTGATAATAAGCCCAAGACCATATTTCGTGGGGCAAAAGAATAAGACCCTGTCGTATTTTTGCGTAAACACGGTAATATGTTCTTACCTAACCCTGTGATTGTATAGTCTTTGATTGTAAAGACGTTCAACGAAACAAAAGGTAATAGTGATAAGGGACTTTAATTCTTCTTTGTGTTTGTGCGCATAATTTTTATTAAGAATATTTATAATAGTAATATGTAATACAAACTAAAAGAATAATAGAGATGAATAAAACGTGAAACAAAAAAAGAAAAAGACAAAAATGAGACTATAATAAAGAAAAAATATGTAAAGAGTTGATTTTCAATCTTTATCACAATCAGCATAAAGAAACTCTTTGCCCTCTCTAAAACATCAGAACGGAACTGGAGGTGACCCTTATCTTGAAATATTACTTCTTGTAGTGCAAAATGTATCCTTGCAGTTAATCTTGTGTGGCGTTTTCCCTTAACCAACCGTTTCTTTAATCTGTTGATTATAGCCCAACTTTGACATGCTATATAACCATGTGAAGCAGCTGCTATCAAATGAGCTACTCCTGACTCAGATGGAGAAGTGTGCTCTCATGGAAGCCTTGGTCCTAATTAGCAATCAATTTAAGGATTATCAGCGGCAAAAAGCTTTCTTGGAAGAGCTCATGGCTCCTGTTGCTACACTTTGGTTATCTGATGAGATGAAAAGGTATGAAAAGTTTAATCAAGTCCACTGATAGACTCATATATATGTCTGTGTGTGTTGCATTTTTGCTGATAAATAAATAAAGGGAGACTAAGATAGATCTATTTCAAGCTATTTGGGCATACCAAATAGCTTGACAAAAGAAACACACACAGACATATAAATCAACAGATCTGTGCTGAGCCTTTCACATATATGCAGCTATTTTAATTCATTGTAATTGTGCATAAGAAGTGCTTTTGTGCAGGCATTTATTAAACCTTTTCTTGTTTTGAGAAAAGGTTTTGACAAAAGAAATACACACACATATAAACCTACAGATCTGTGCTGAGCTTTGCAGTAAACATGTATGCAGCTATTTTAATTCATTGTAGTTGTGCATAAGAAGTGCTTTTGTGCAGGCATTTATTAAACCTTTTCTTGTTTTGAGTTCAGTGTGCAGGAATATGGCATTTGCTAAATGTTTGTCCTTTTAGAGATTTTTCTAATCTAAATATGTAGGTTGCCTCCAGAATAAAGTGGAGTACAAGAGAGGAAAGAGATGCATGTCTTCAGTACAAACTATTAATACAAAGACAGTAGTTGCTACTCCTCCCATTGAGTTCACAACTTCCAGCTCCTTTTCCACGGCAGTGTCATTTTTGGAAAACTCACCACACAGTACAGTTGACTTAATTAGCACGTGCAGAAATGAAGCCAATCGAGTCAGCTATTCTGATTACCATTTATTTCCAGTTTTCAGGAGAGTTTAGAACAACAGAGTTCCATGGCAGTCATCTTATACCTCTGATGGAATATTGTTACAGGAAATGAGAATTACTAGCAACTTCACACTCTTTATACAATATATGAGCTCCATGGGTGTGAACTGCATCAAAGATCTTTGAAAGTTAAAAGTGAGAAGAGAAAATGTGCTTAATATCGATGGATGATGTTGATAAAAATAGTACGTGGGCTTTTTCTACTGACAACGTGATACGGTCTAAATTTATTTTTATCTATATCCTGCCTTTATTATTTTTATGAATAACTCAAGGCAGCGAATACATCCAACATACCTTTGTCCATTTATTTTCCTCACAACAACAACTCTGTGAGATGAGATGAGCTGAGAGAAAGTAACTGGCCCAAAGTCACCTAGCTGGTTTCATGGTTAAAGTGGGATTTAGATTAAGAAGATAAGTGGTTAACCTATTGTGAATAAAAATGAATATCTTTCATCTTTTATGTGAGAAAGTAAAATTAAGAGGCATGCAAATGCAAAAAAAAATGCAGACTTCTATACAAAGAGCAGTAGAGATCACCTTTTTTCAACTTTAAAATCATCTTCACAGAAAATTGCAAGAATGGCATGTAGACTAGTCCACTAAGTGAGATACTGTAGCAAAGTCATTTATAACTCAGATTGAGATCAGTTTGTAGACATGGTAATGTCAAATAACATTTTATGCATACATATTTAGAATCTGTCCTACTGAGTTTAATGAGGTGCTTGTTTGGATTTCAACGTATAAATCTTTTTATCTTGGCTTGCTCTAATCTATCACTGTAGATATAATATCACAAGTATTCATGGATCTAACTTAATAATAGTGTTTCATGACAACTAGCTTCCATAGTTCATTAGATTGAATTGGTTTCTTGGAATAAAATATGTTTATGGCTCTGTTTTCTACTATCACACACAGAGTTCTGATGAATCCTGAAGATTTTATCCGGTATGTTGGTGCTGATAATAGGATTGTAGACCCCATCATGGAAGATCCCTGTGGTTTGAATCGTTCCAGAGTGAGTATTAGGTTGTCAGAAAATATGGAATTCAGAAAAAGAGATTTGCCCATATCACTGAAAATTTATCCTTAGTGAATAGTGGATAGTCTTGGAAATAACAGCACAGTAAGTACCGTATTTTTCAGAGTATAAGACACACCAAGGTTTTGAAGAGGCAAATTTAAAAATGTAGGTAGGTAGATAGAGGGAGAGAGAGGGAGAGAGAGAGAAATACGGTAGGTAGGTAGGTAGGTAGGTAGGTAGGTAGGTAGGTAGGTAGGTAGGTAGGTAGGTAGGTAGGTAGGTAGGNTTCTTTAGCTGTTCCCTTCATCTAGCAACTCTGTGCATGTGCACACTGGGAACAGGCTCCAGCTGTTCTTCTGCCCCACTGATCTCCAACTGAAGACAGCTGATAGCAGGCATTCGGCTCTGGCCCCCTCTCTGCCTCCAACACAGAGCTCTCATCAGAGCCTTTCCCAGACTCCAGGACTGGCCCATCTTCCTCCCCAACCTCCTCACTGTCTGATTCTGCTGCCAGTTCCGCAGGCTTCAGCCAGCTTCTGACAAGCAAGGTCATTGAGAAGAAGCAGGATTTGCTTAACAACTGCCTGAGTCACCTAACAGTCATGATTAACTTAACACCCATGGCAAAAAGGGTCATAAAACTGGATGCGACCTTCTTAACCACAGCCTCGCTTAGCAACTGAAACTCTGGCCCCAATTGTGTTTTAAGTTGAGGATTGTTTATAATCGGCCATGTCTCATGCGAAGGATTAATGTGCACGCTGTGTGTCTGTTTCTTTCATCTCCAGGATCTATGGAGATCCTCCTTCATCCAGGTCATGGCTGTCCCAAAGATGCTTTCTTTTTCAGTCCTGGTTTATATAAACAGAGGCATAGAATCAAGACCATGTGATGTAGTAGGACCACTTTATAAAACCCTAGTAAGGCCACACCTGGAATACTGCAACCAACTTTGATCACCATACTAACAAAAAAAAGATGTTGAGGCTTTGGAAAAAGTTCAGTGAAGAGCAACTAAGAGTTTCAAAGGCCTGGAGACTACAACATATGAAGAATGGTTGCAGGATTTGGGCCTGGCGAATCTAAACAAAATAAAAATTAGGGCTGACAGAATAGCAGTGTTCCAGGATTTGAAGGGCTGCTAAAAAGAAGTGGGGGGGTCAAATTATTCTCCAAAGCACCAGAAGGGCAGGACAAGAAGCAATGGGTGGGAACCAACTAAAGAGAGAAGCAACCTGGAATTAAGGAGAAACTTCCTAACAGTGAGGACAATTAACCAGTGGAACAGCTGGCCTCCAGAAATCGTGGGTGCTCAATCCCTGGAAGCTTTTTAAGAAGAGACTGGACAGACACTTGTCTGGAATGGTATAGATTCTCCTGCTTGAGCAAGGGGCTGGACTAGAAGACCTCCAAGGTNTCCCAGGGGGTTCTTCCGGATAGCCGAGGATGGAAAATCAAATCATTGACAATGCATTTGGTGGTGTGTTTCCAGGTCATTTTGAAAGGTATCGATTTTCCATCCATCTAAATAATTGGATCGATGGAAGGAAAGCCAAAAGAAGCTTTCACACAGCCAAATATCTACAGTGTGTTAAATTCCTGCATTGGAGTAGACAGTCTTGAGTAACAGGGCTCTTCAAGGTAGTGTGTGCCCTGGAAGCAAAATTAAGCATTTGAGTTTATTTTTGATGCAATCACTTCAGAGGCTTCAGGTCCAGAGAGAATAACAAAGGTGAAAGGGACCTTGGAGGTCTTCCAGTCCAACCCCCTGCTCAAGCAGGAGACCCCATATTGTAATAATGTATATAACGATAACCGTGCAGGTTGGACAGACGAAACCAAGCAACCTTGTGCCAAACTTAATGCTGCTGTTGGAAGGAATATCCTTCTAGGTCCAGTTCCAAGCTGGGAGAAAAACACTGGAAACATGGAGGCTGCTTGGAAAGATGGTTTATTGGTGGACAGGACCACATGGGTCTGAGGTCCTGAGCAGCTGACCCCATGGAGTGGAGAGTGAGAGTTATTTATACCCTTGGGCCTTGCTCTTGAGCTTCCTGTTCCTGTGCAAGAAATGTATTTTATTGGCTGCTATAGGGGTCATGTGCAAATCCTAGGAGTTTGCCTGACATAGGTTTGGTTGAAGCATGGACTGATGTAATGTTCTTAGGAGGTTTTGCAATGCAGCCATGAATGCGTTAATCCTATTATGTCCTGGAGGGTCATGTCTTAATCCCTTCACCCTGGAGCTGAAGGTCTTTTGTCTTGAAGATAGGCTGGCCCAGTCTTTCTTAATGGGTACCAAATATCTGCTAGGGGCAGAAAGCTGAAACTCTGAGTTTCTGTCTCCCTTAAGATTTCTCTTTCTCTTTTTGGGGGAAATATAATATTCTGCCTTTTTAATGTTTCCTAAAATATGTCATTCTTCTAGGAGGGGTGGGTGCTTACTTTCTACACTGCAAAAAAAAAAACCTCCACCACCCCCCCCGAGATGCTTGGAAAGTCAATGGCATTGAAAAAAGTGACTTATGACCGGTCCTCATACTTGCAACCATCTCAGCATCCTCATGTGATCAGAATTTGGGTGCTTGGTAATGGGTATGTATTTATAATGGTCACAGCATCCTGGGTTTACCTGCCTACCATTTGCGAGCTTTCTATTCTGACCGAGGCTTCCCAAGAGCATGAAGCAAACTCCTCGTCCCAACAAAACCCCCTCTTATTAATTTCCTGTGAATTCCTCTCATTTATATTCAGCAAAGTCTTTCAAGGGAGGATTTACAGTCACTGACCTTATCTGGCTTGGAGAGCCGATATCTGCAGAACTTGGCAAGGAGCCTCAGAGAGTCACGAACCAATTAAACGAACTAATTGTCTCCTGCAAACTCCACTCCCCTTTCGCTCC